ACCTCCCCCACCTCCTCCCCCCCCAGCGCCACCCCCGCCACCCTTGCCCCCCTTGCCCTTGCCGGTGCGGCGCCTCCCACCAGGAGCAGAAGCAGCGCCAGCAGACTCAGCACCAAGGAAGTCAACAGCAGCAGCAGTAGCATAGGAGGGAGCGAGGGGAGAGGGAGAGCACCCCTCAAAGATGGGGGTGCGAGGAGCGCCGCGAGCAGCACCTACAGCTACAATGCTCTTCTCGGCTGCTAGCAGCTTCTCCTCTAGGAGGGCGACAGTGAGCTCAGTGGGACAGCGAGCAAGGAAATAGTCGCGCACTGAGCTGAGGGTGTCAGGGAGACGGGTGACTATGAAGTGGAGTGTCCAGTACAGTGGAGGGGGGTTCTTAGCGCAGAACTCAGTGGGAAGGGCGGCACGCAGGCGAGCGTCACTAGTGCGAAGGTGGGTGATAAGATCGGCGACTGTAGCAAAGGTGGACAGCTCAGGGAACAGGTAAGGCAGCATGAGGCGGCTAAGCTCAGCTGTGGCCGGTGAGGAGTAGCGAGCAACGACAGCGTCGTACAGGGCCTTAGCGGATTTGCAGTCGCCAAAATGCTCGAGCTCAGCTAACGGCAGGTGACTGCGAATGGCTAGGCGAGCAGCTGCGTCACGAGTCTGCCAGTGGGAACGAACACTAAGCTCAGCTGTGGCAGGAGGGGCAGGCGCAGCACCAGACGCATAATCATAGAGCGACACATGCTCCTTGCTATCGCTCAGGAGGAACAGCTGCAGGTCATCTAGCCAAGTGGTGAACTGCACAGGGCGGCCCTCAGCATCGAACGACAGCACGCGGATGGAAGCCATAGCGACAGTATGACAGAGCAGCGCAAGCTACCGCAGCAAGGGTGGGCAATTGCGCACGGGTAGGGAGCAGCAGGCGGCGCTGCAAGCGGGCAGCGCGGCGGACAGGCGGCTCTGTGGACGGGCAGCGCGGCAGGCAGGCGGCGCTGCAGGCGGGCAGTGCGACTGGCGGGCGACTCCGCAAGCGGGCAGCGCGGCGGGCGGGCGGGCACAGCGGGCGGCGCGCGGGGCTGCAAGGCAGCGCGGGGCAGAGCGGGCGGCGCGCGGGGCTGCAGAGCCGAGCGACGGGCAGCGCAGGGCAGGGCGGGCGGGTCTCGGGGCTGCACAGCAGATCGAGGGGCGGCGCCGGGCACAGCGGGCGGTGCGCGGGGCTGCGAGGCAGCGCGACGGGCAGCGCGGGGCAGAGCGGGCGGCGCGACGGGCAAAGCAGGGGAGGGGGAGGCGCGCGGGGCTCTGGGCTGGCAGGACGCCGGTCGGCAGGGCGCACGAGGGCGCTACAAGGGCGCTACGAGGGCGCTAGGGCGCAACGAGGGCGCTACGAGGGTAGGGCGCGGGGGTAACGCGGTAACCGCAGCGTGCGGTGGTGGGCCCTAAAAAAACGATCGGATGGTCCTAGGGACCACCTGCTCTGAATACCATATCAGAATACTAGCGTAAGAATGATGCATTGAAAGAAACAGTTGGGTACAAGTAGCTAACCCTAGTTGGGGTTGTACCCTATATTGGCTACCCCACTACAGCCTACCCACATATATATAACACATTACAACTTAACACTAACGGGGTCAAATATAACACCCCCCCCGCACAAGCTACCCGGGGGTGTACAATTTGGGGTGGGTGTTTTATCCGGGGGAATACGGTAGGTACATTTCAAAGTTTTAGCTAGACACCAAAATCTTTTAATTGCCACCTGGAATTTGGATTATAGAATGTAATGTAGTATCCTTAGTCTTGACAACTGAAGTAAGTACGGTATAATATTTATACAAATGCTTCAGCAGCAAAGGCCTGTTCTTTTTATAAGGCGGCGTGCTTCATTTCAATTACCGTAGATTTGTGAAAGATTGCTTAGAGTTGTCAAATTATATGCATGTTATATATATGTAGGCTACTAGGCTGTAGTGGGGTAGCCAATATGGGGTACAACCCGTTAGGGTGTCATATTTGTACCAAACTCTGACCTGGTCAATTCATTCCTGCCTATAGTTTTTGACATGGTATCAGAGCAGTAGGTCTGTATGTCAAATGTTTGTCTTAGGGGGTACACATGTAAGGGTTAGGGTTTGCTACTTGTACCCCAACCAACATCAATGAACCAACACTTTCGATTTTAACATGGTATCACCTAAGTTAGGATCCGGTGGGTTCCCGTCCCTCCCGTTCACGTTCGTTCCGCCCGAGCCTGTTCCGCTCGTTCGTTAGTGCCCGTTACGCCGACCCGCTTACCGTGTAGCGTAGCGCGCTCTCCCTCCCTGCCCGTCGCGTCGCGCTCTCCCTCCCTGCCCGTCGCGTCACGCTCTCCCTCCCTGCCCGTCGCGTCGCGCTCTCCCCCCGCTGCCCGTCGCGTCGCGTCGCCCCCCCTCGCTGCCCGTAGCGTCGTGCCGCCCTCCCCCCCCCCCGCTGCTCGTCGCTTCGCGTCACCCGCCCGCTGCCCGTCGCGTCGCGTCGCCCCCCCCCCCCCCCCCCCCCCCCCCCCCCCCCCGCTGCTCGTCGCCCCGCGTCGCCCGCCCGCTGCCCGTCGCGTCGCGTCGCCCCCCGCTGCTCGTCGCGTCGCGCCGTCCCCCCTGCGCGGCTGCCCTTAACGACCGTCCGTCGCGTCGCGCCAGGCCTATCCGCCCGCCCGCGCGTCCCTTCGCCCGCTCGCCCGCTGCGCCCGTGCCTCCCTTTCTCCCTGCGTGCTTGCGTGCCGTGCTGGCCGCCACGCCACCGAGTTCCGCCACGCCACCGATTTCGCCACGCCACCTCGTTTAGGGTTTTCCATCTGCCTCCGCTTTTCCATCAGTTTTAACTATGGCGACTCCGCGTGTTCTTCGTTTCGACGCTGACGGTAGACCCCTTGACTTTTCACTCTGGCTTATGCGCGCTCGCCGTCAGTTAGAGAGTCAGGTCCAGTCAGGCGAGACCCTCTGGGCGCACGCTACTGGTGCCCTCCCTGCGCCCCCCGAACCTACGCCTTTAGGCCCTGCCCGTGACGACGCCGCTAGAGCCCTCTTTGCTAGCCAGCGCGCTGACTTGACAGCTTGGACGTCTCGTGACGCTGCGGCCTGCATCGCACTCAGCACCCTCCTCCCCGAGTCTGAGGAGGTCCACTTTGCTCAGGTTCGCACTGCTGCTGAGTACCTGACTGCGATTAAGGCCCTCCTACTCCACTCCTGCTGCTGTCTCTCTTGGCCGCCTTTTCCTCCCGTTCCTGTTCCCTGATCTCGCCTCATTTGAGCGCTCTGCTGACTTGATTGCTCACCTCCGCTCGCTCGACTCTAGTTACCGCGCTGCTTGCACTGCTTCCTCCTCCCATGGCGATTACTATCTATTTCTTTGCCACTAGCCTCCCTGACCGCCTTGCCTCCGTTCGTGACGCGCTTCTCCTGAAGCACCCTAGTGAGCTCACTATTGAGGTCCTTGAGTCTGCGCTCAAGGACATCGAGAGCAACCTCCGCTCCGTAGCCGCTGCCTCTGGTGCTGTGCCCCCCCCACTCTTCCACGGGTGCACAGTCCCGCAGTTGCCCACCTTTACTGCCTCTCTCGCCACTGCCGCTACTGACGCGACCGCAGCTGCTGTTACGACTTCGTCGCGGTCCCGCGGTAGGGGTGGCAAGAGGGGCGGTGCTGGCGGCGGCGTTGGTGGAGGCGGAGGTAGTGGGGGTGGCGTTGCGACTGGCGGTGGTGGGAGTGCAGGGCCTGGAGAGACGTCTCGTGCAGCGACCGGTGACTCCACTGCGCCTGCTGGTGGTGGCGACGCCCGAGTTCGTCAGTCGCCCCCTGTACTGCCAGCCCCGGTGGGTGGAGCAGCGGCGTGGTACCGGGCCCAGCGTCAGCAGCAGCTTCAGCAGCAGCAGCAGCAGCCCCTCTCCTCCCAGCAGCCTCCGCAGCAGCAGCGGCCGCAGCTGGCTTCGGGGTCGGGGCCGCGTCAGCCCCAGCGTGGTGCTGTTTACCCTCCCTGCGCCTATCAGGTTCTGACAGGTGCTCGCCGGGGCCACCCTTGTGGCCGCCTTCACCCCCCTGGTCAGTGCTTTGCTCAGCTCACTGACACGGTTCGTTTGGTTTACGGGGTTGGCGGTCCTGCCCCTGACTGGTTTCCCCTTGTTCAGCGTTACGGCTCCACTCTGTGGGACATGTCTGCCGAGCAGTTAGCTGATCTGATTGGAACTCCTCATGCTATGTATGCTGTTGTTGACTCTAGTGTTTCTGACTCTGTTTACTCTGGTGTTGTTAGCTTAGGTGCTAGCCTTGCTGAGTTGCCTGTTGCTAGTGTAGTTTCTTGTGTAGACACTAGTCCAGCGGCTACCTCGGAGGACGCTTCACTGTCTTTCACGCTGGACTCTGGAGCCTCGCACTGCTTCTTTCGTGACAGCACGACACTTACACCACTTCCTGCGCCTGTTTCTGTGGCGCTAGCTGATCCCACCTCGGGACCAGTCACTGCACGTCACGCAACCACTTTGCCGTGTCCTGCTGCTCCCTCCGGGTCTCTCACTGGGTTTCACGTCCCCTCGTTCTCCCGGAACTTGGTGGGCGTGCGACCCCTCGTGAGTCAGCACGTGGGTGTGTGGTTTGAGCCTTCTGGGGAGACTGCGGTGTGTGTTGACGGGGACTCTTACCAGCCTCTGGCCACCTTTGCTGCTGAGAAGGGCTCCGGTCTCTACACTCTTCACACTGGCCCGCGTGCACGGCAGCGGCCACAGCAGCAGCAGCAGCAGCAGCAGCCGCAGCAGTCGCCGCCGCCGCAGCAGCAGCAGCAGCCGCAGCAGCCGCCGTCGCAGCAGCCCCTACTCCCTGTTCCTGTCCCTCCCCCTTGTCTCCTCCCTGCGTCTCACCAGGTGGTTACGTCCCCTCAGGTAGTCGCGTCCAGTCCAGTCGCTGCGTCTTGCTCCTGCAGGTCGCTTGCCCACCCCACCGTTCTGTGGCACCACCGGATGGGACACCCTTCTCTTCCACGTCTGCGCGCTATGTCTAGTCAGCGTCTGGTCTTAGGTCTCCCGCGTGTCTTGCCGTCGCTGCCGCCGTCCCTTGCACCACCGTGCGGTCCTTGCGTCGAGGGTCGGCTGCGCGCCACCCCTCACTCCTCCTCCCTTCGTCCGGCCACCGAGCCGTTTGAGACGCTTCACTTGGACGTCTGGGGCCCCGCCTCTCGCCTTGGCCCTGAGCGTGAGCGTTTCTTTCTGGTGGTCGTTGACGACTACTCCCGCTACACCACGGTGTTCCCCCTGGCGAAGAAGTCTGAGGTGACTTCTACGCTGATCAGGTGGTTGCTCACCATCGCGAACACTCGTGGTCGTCGTGTTCGCCGTCTTCACTCCGACCGCGGGGGTGAGTTTCGCTCCGGCATTCTCGCTGGATTCTGTCGCGAGCAGGGCATTCGTCAGTCCTGGACGCTTCCAGAGTCCCCACAGCAGAATGGGGTTGCTGAGCGCCGCATAGGCTTGGTCATGGAGATCGCCCGCACCTCCCTGACTCACGCCCGTGCCCCCCATTTTCTGTGGCCTTACGCGGTTCGGTACGCCGCGCACCAGCTGAACCTCTGGCCACGTGTCTCTCGGCCAGAGGCTTCGCCGACCAGTCTTTGGACCGGGTCCCCTGGTGTTGCGTCGCGGTTTCGTGTCTGGGGTTGCTTGGCTCTTGTCCGCGACACCTCTGCGGACAAGCTCTCGCCTCGCGCCGTTCCTTGTGTCTTCCTTGGTTTCCCCTAGTACTCCTCTGACTTCACCTTTTACCACCCTCCCTCTCACCGGTTCTTTGACTCCCGTGACGTTCGAGGAGTCCACCCCCTACTACGTCAGGTACCCCTGTCGAGGTCTCCCGGTTCCTCCTCCCCCCCTCTTCCTGACTGCCGCTCCCCCTCCTGCTCCCCCGGTACAGCCTCCCCCCCCTGGTCCAGCCCCGTCAGGTGTGTCCCAGGCTACCCCTCCTCCTTCGGTAGCCCCTCCGGTACAGCCTCCCTCCCCACAGTCCTCCTCGCAGCGTGCCGCAGGTGCTAGCTCTCGAGAGGTTGGTGCTGAGCCTGTTCCTGTACCGGTTTCTGGTTCTGGGGGTGCTGGAGTTGGAGCTGAGCCGGTGGGTGCAGAGGACTCTTGTCTTCCGGGAGCTGGTGCTGGTCGCGCGGACACTGGGGGTGCTCCGTCTGGGGGTGAGGGTGCGCCTCCTTCGGGTTCTGGTGAGCCTGGGTCTGGAGCTGGTGTTGGTGCTGCCTCTGGGGGTGGTGCGCCTGGTGCTTCAGAGGTCGACTCTGGAGCTGTCGCTGCCCCGGACACTACTCCGCCCCCCCACCCCTACCCGACTAGGCACCAGGCTCGTGTTCGCCGTGCCCGTGAGGAGCAGCTGGCGTTGGAGAGAGAGGAGAGGGAGTTACAGCGGCTGGAGGAGCAGCAGCAGCAGCTGGAGCCGCAGGAGGAGCAGCAGCAGCAGCAGCAGCAGCAGCAGCAGCAGCAGCAGCTGGAGCCGCAGGAGCAGCAGTCACAGCAGCAGCCGCAGCCGCAGCAGCAGCAGCACCAGCCGCAGCAGCAGCAGCAGCAGCCACTTCCTCCTCCTGTCTCGGGTCTTCGGACCCTTGGTCTCCCCTCTCGCTCTCCTCCCTCCTCCCCCTCTCCTCCTGTCTACGGTCCCACGTTTCCTCCTCCTGACTCCTCCCCCGCTGTTTTCCCCAGTTCTCCGCCTTTGTCGTCTCCTCCTCCGTCTCGTACTTGGGCTACTCGTCGCTCCCCTCGTGCTCGTCCCTCGTCCCCTGTTCCTTTCACTGACCTTCGTACTGTCTTGTTACGTTCTAGTCCGCCTCGTTCGGCTCCTCCTGTGCTTCCTTCTCCTCCTGAGTCGGCCCTCACAGCTTCTCTCTCTACCCCTGTCACTGACTACTACCGCACGTACCGTCTTGTTCTCTCTCGTGTTCTCGCCTCTCTTGTTACCCACCCTCGTGCCTCTTTGTCCTCTGTCTCTGCTCTTACTGCCACGGTCACTGAGTTTGCCTCTACTCGCCGCCTTGACTACGCCACCACTCTTGTGGCTGCTCCTCCTACCAGTCCTCTGGCCGTCGGGGGTGTGTCTGCCCTTGGCTGTGACGTCCTAGAGGACAGGCAGTTTGAGCTAGAGTTCCTGGCAGCCGCTTCCCCTCATCTCTGTGCCATGCTCCTCACCCCTGAGGGTGACCCCGACGCCCTTGACATTCCGACTCCTCGCACTTACGCTGAGGCAGTGTCAGGGCCTTGGGCCTCTCAGTGGAGAGCTGCCATGGACGCAGAGATGGCCTCCTATAGATCCACAGGCACCTACGACAATGAGGTTCCTCCCCCTGGGACGAACGTAGTCGATGGCATGTGGATCTACAGGGTGAAGCGGTCATCGGGATCTCCTCCGGTCTTCAAGGCGCGCTACGTTGCTAGAGGTTTCAGTCAGCGCGAGGGAGTCGACTTCTTTCAGACCTTCGCGCCGACCCCGAAGATGACCACTCTTCGGGTGTTACTGCACGTAGCAGCACAGAGAGACTACGAGTTACACTCTCTCGACTTCTCCACTGCTTTTCTTCAGAGCAGCCTACACGAGGAGGTCTAGCTGCGTCGTCCCTCTGCCTTCATTGGCACTTTCCCTCCTGGGACCCAATGGAGGCTGAGGCGACCTGTCTACGGTCTTTGCCAGGCCCCTCGTGAGTGGCACGACACTCTCCGCTCTACCCTCTCTGACCTTGGGTTCCAGCCGTCTTCTGCCGACCCGTCGCTGTTCGTTCGCCGTGGCTCCACACCGTTCTTCGTTCTGGTCTACGTCGACGACCTCGTTTTCGCCACTGCTGACAGGGTTGCTTTGGCAGACGTGAAGTCCGAACTGCAGAAGAGACACACGTGCACTGACCTTGGTGAGCTGCGCCATTACCTTGGGCTGCAGATCACCAGGGACAGAGCTGCTCGCACCATTACACTCTCACAGTCACACATGGTGCAGCAGGTCCTTCAGCGGTTCGGGCTTCAGCACTCCACAGTACAGCGCACACCTCTTGCTGTTGACCACAGACTCACTGGACCCTTTCCTGACGAGCCGTTCGAGCCTAGTGGTCCCTACGCAGAGCTTGTGGGTTGCCTCATATACCTGATGACTTGTACTCGCCCGGACCTCGCTTTCCCTCTCAGCATCCTTGCGCGCTTTGTTGCGCCAGGGAGACACCGTCCTATTCACTGGACAGCAGCTGTGAGGGTGGCGAAGTACCTAGCGACGACATCAGGCGTGGGGCTAGTTCTTGGAGGGCAGCAGTCTGTCGTACTTACTGGTCACTGTGACTCTTCTTACGCTGACGACGCTGAGACTCACAGGTCTACTCAGGGGTGCTGTAATAGTCTGGGTTCTGGAGCTGTTTCCTGGCGGTCCACGCGCTCCTCTTCGGTCTCGACCTCTACAGCTGAGGCTGAGATCTACGCTGGTGCCATGGCGGCATAGGAGCTGCGTTGGTTGACGTTCTTGCTCGCCGACCTGGGTGAGCGGCCGAGCTCTGCACCGACCTTGTTCACTGACAACAAGGCATCGATTCTCCTTTGTCGAGAGCCGCGACTGGAGAGCAGAGTGAAGCACATTAACGTCAGGTACTTCCTTCTGCGAGAGTTGCAGAGACGTGGACAGGCTCGCTTCGAGTTTGTGGAGTCAGAGGCCAACACTGCAGACATCTTCACCAAGGCGCTTCTGCCTTGTGACCACCACAGGTGCTGTGTGCAGTTAGGCCTTGTTGACACTGGTTTTCGGCTTACTTAGTCTTGAGTTCACTGTTTGCTTTGCTTGTACACTTTCTATATATCTCTGTTATTGCTTGGACTGGCCTTGTGGCCATTGTTGCTTGTGCTCAGAGTGTGTGGTGACGTTGTGATCCACCCTGAGCTTTGTTTCTTTGTGACTGGTCTTATGACCGTACTCTTTTGGTTTTGCTAGACACCCCTCACTTAGGCTATGGGGGTGTGTCAAATGTTGTAGCCTGTAGTGAGGTTTGTCTTAGGGGGTACACATGTTAGGGTTTGCTACTTGTACCCCAACCAACATCAATGAACCAACACTTTCGATTTTAACACCGTACGATCGTTTTTTTTTTTTCGGGCCCACCTACCGTTGTGGTTACTGAGCTGCCCCACGTGTTGCCTGCGCTGCGCCGCCCGCGCGTGCATTGCCTTGCCTGCGCTGCGCTGCCCGCGCGCGCCTTGCCTTGCCTGCACTGCGCTTCCTGCGCGCGCAAACTCTAATTCTGCGAGCAGCTCGCTGCTGCCCCGCGCATCACGCCCGCCGCCTGCGCAGCCCGCTGCTGCCCCGCGCGTCGCGTCCGCCACCCTTACGCAGCCCGCAGCAGCCCCGCGTGCCGCGGCTGCCGCCCTCGCGCAGCCCGCGGCTGCCTCGCGCGCCGCGTCCGCCGCCCGCGCGGTCTGCACCTGCCCCGCGCGCCGCGTCCGTCGCCCGCGCGGCCTGCAGCTGCCCCGCGCGCCGCGTCCGCCGCCCGGCGCTGCCCCGCGCGCCGCCTCAGCCGCCCACGCGCCGCTACAGCAGCCTGCGCGCGCCTCGCGGCTGGCCTGCGCCTGCGCCCTGCCCTGCCTGCGTGCGGCTCACTGCCGCGTCGCCCGGCCTGCGCGCCACCGCGCACCCTACCCTACCTGCGCACAACATACCCTACCCGCGCGCCCTACCTCCCGCAACATGCCGCCTTCCTCTGGCGAACCGTCGCATTTTCTTGCCCGTGCGCCGCCCTTGCCTACCCTAGCACCCGCTATGACTTCTCTTCGCGGTACCAGCGGTGGGAGTGGTGGCGGCAGTGGTGGCAGCAGTGGGAGTGGTGGCGGCCGTCGTAGCAGTTACGGTGCAGCTCCTCCGTTGGGAGTTTCTGGAGGTGGCCTAGTGCGGCAGCAGCGGCGTCCGCGTGAGCCCCTTACACCCCAGGAGCTTCGTGAGTGGTTTGCTCAGCGTTGGGCGTCTCAGTGTAGTGACCGTAGAGGCAGTCGCGGTGCAGCTCCTCCGTTGGGAGTTTCTGGAGGTGGCCTAGTGCAGCTGCAGCGGCGTCCGCGTGAGCCCCTTACACCCCAGGAGCTTCGTGAGTGGTTTGCTCAGCGTTGGGCGTCTCAGCGTCGTGTCCGTAGTGGCAATTGCGGTGCAGCTACTCCGTTGGGAGGTTCTGGAGGTGGCCTAGTCCATCTGCAGCGGCGTCCGCGTGAGCCCCTTACACCACAGGAGCTTCGTGAGTGGTTTACTCAGCGTTGGGCGTCTCTGCGTAGTGGCCGTAGTGGCAGTCGCGGTGCAGCTCCTCCGTTGGGAGTTTCTGGAGATGGCCTAGTGCAGCTGCAGCGGCGTCCGCGTGAGCCCCTTACACCCCAGGAGCTTCGTGAGTGGTTTGCTCAGCGTTGGGCGTCTCAGCGTCGTGCTCATAGTGACAGTTACCTGTGTGTGCCGCCTGTGTGTGTGTGTAAGTTTCCTGCTCTCGGTACTAGTGAGGCTGCGTCTGCTCTCGGTGCTAGTGAGTCTGCTCTCTTAGGTGCTAGTGAGTCTGCTCTCTCAGGTGCTAGTGAGTCTGCTCTCTCAGGTACTGCGCCTGCTGAGGCCTTGCACACCTTTACACTTGACTCTGCGCCTGCACCTGTCCCTGTCTCACTGGCTGACCCCTCTAGGGGCCCAGTGCTTGCACGGTCCACCACTGTGCTTCCGTGTCCGGCGGTCCCATCTGGTGAGCTGTCTGGTCTCCACCTCCCCTCGTTCTCTACGAGCTTGGTGAGCAACGCCATCCTTCAGGACCATTGAGTTGACACCTTTACTCCTGGAGGACAGCGTGTGGCGATCTGCACGTGCTCTCGGACCGGCCGCCACCTGGCCACGTTCACACGTGCGCCTGGGTCCAGTCTGTACACCCTCACCACTACGTCGCAGTACACCCCTTTGTCTCCCCAGCTGTACGCGTCTGCTCAGGTAGCTACCCAATGCGAGTGTCGCCGCCTGTCGCACGACACTCTCCTGTGGCACCACCGCCTTGGTCACCCCTCCTTGCCTCGCCTGCGTAGCATGCACTCTCGCTCCCTGGTCTCTGGCCTTCCCAGGTCTTTGCCTGCCCTCCCTCCCTCGCTTGCGCCGCCCTGCATTCCTTGCGTCGAGGGGCGGCAGCGCGCCGCTCCTCACTCCTCCTCGTTCCCTCCCACAGAGGCTCCACTGCAGACTCTCCACCTGGACGTGTGGGGCCCAGCCCGCGTCCAGGGGCACGGCCGCGAGCGGTACTTCCTGCTGGTTGTCGACGACTACACGCGTTACACCACGGTCTTCCCCTTGCAGCGCAAGGCGGATGTCCCTGCTGTTCTGATCCCTTGGATCCGCGCTGTTCGTCTCCAGCTCTGCGAGCGGTTCGAGTCGGACTTTCCTGTCCTGCGTCTGCACTCTGATAGAGGTGGTGAGTTCACCTCCGACCTCTTGCGAGCCTTCTGTGAGGAGCACGGCATCACCCAGTCGTTCACGCTTCCGACCTCTCCGCAGCAGAATGGGGTTGCTGAGCGCCGCATTGGCTTAATCATGGAGGTCGCTCGTACCTCCATGATCCATGCGGCGACTCCCCATTTTCTGTGGCCGTTTGCGGTCCGGTACGCTGCGCATCAGCTCAACCTCTGGCCCCGTGTCTCCTTGCCGGAGACCTCGCCCACACTGCTGTGGACGGGGAAGGTTGGCGATGCGTCGCGTTTTCGGGTCTGGGGTGCTCGTGCCTTTGTCCGCGATACCACCGCGGACAAGCTCTCTGCTCGCGCCATTCCCTGCGTCTTCCTTGGTTTTCCTACTGACGCGCCTGGCTGGCAGTTTTACCACCCCACCTTGCGCCGTGTCTTTGCGTCTCAGGACGTCACTTTTGACGAGTCAGTCCCCTTTTACCGTCTCTTTCCCTACCGCACTGCCCCTCGCCCCCCCCCGCCGCTCTTTCTCGCTCCAGGTCCTTCCCAGGTAGACCCCCTCCCCGCGCCAGGTCCTGCTCCTTCAGGTGTTTCTCAGGTAGACCCTCCTGTGCCTGCGCCTGTTGAGGTCACTGGTGACTCAGGTCCTGCTGGGGGTGGTCCTGCTCGGGGTGCTATCTCTTGGGGTGCTGAGCCTGGGGGTACGGAGCCTGAGCGAGAGGAGCCTGGGGGTGCTGAGCCTGGGGGTGCGGAGTCTGGGGGTGTTGTGCCTGAGCGTGAAAAGCTTGGAGGTGCTGAGTGTGAGGGGCCTGAGGGTGCTGAGCCTGGAGGTACTGAGCCTGAGCGTGAGGAGCCTCGAGGTTCTGCGCCTGGGGGTGCTGCGTCTGGGGGTGCTGAGCCTGAGCGTGAGGAGCCTGGGGGTGCTGAGTCTGGGGGTGCGGCGCCTGAGGGTACTGCGACTGCTGGTGCGCGGTCTCCTTGGAGTGGCCGCCTTCGTCCGCGTACGCCTCTCACCTCACAGCAGCTGCACGAGTGGTACGGTCGCCGTCAGCGTCGCGCTGCTGGAGCCCGGGGCTCTGCTACTGGAGGTACTTCTGCTGACGTCACTGGAGCTAGGAGTGGTGCTGGTACTTTGTCTGCTGGAGGTGCTGGAGTCGCTGGTCCCGGAGGTGCTCGTACTGGAGGTACTGGAGCTGCTGGGGCTGGAGGTGCTGCGTCTGGGGGTGCTGCTGCTGGAGACACTGAGGTTGGAGACCCTGGGACTGGAGGTGCTGGTTCTGGGGGTGCTGCTGCTGGAGACACTGCGGTTGGAGACCATGGGACAGGAGGTGCCGGTTCTGGGGGTGCTGCTGCTGGTGGCGCTGGTCCTGGAGGTACTGGCGCTGGGGGTGCTGGAGCTGCTGGGGGTGCTGGAGCTGCTGGAGGTGCTGGAGCTGCTGGTGCTGGTGGCACTGTTCTTCGCTCCACCGTCTCCGTCGTCTCAGCCACCGCCTGACTCTGTGCTTCGCCAGGTTCTTAGCCTCCCGTCTTCTATTGGTCTTCCGTTACAGCCTGGCTCACCGCTACCTGCTCCTTCTCCTTACACTGAGCAGACAGGAGGTCTTGCTGAGCGTCGTGAGCTTGCGTCGCGTCCTGTCTCGCCTGTTCGTCCTGGTCGTACCGGTCGTCGTGCTCCTCATCAGCGTTTGTCGGTTGTCCCCGGCACGCACCTCGTCGCCCTGCGTCCTTCCTCTGCTCCGCAGCGTGTTCCCCTGCCGTCTCCCCCTGCGTCCTCTCTGCCTGACGTTCCGGACCCTGAGTCTGACTGGTTTCGTGCCGCACATCCTACTGTCACTCGTCTGTTCGCCACTGTTGTCACTGACCCTTCGTTTGAGTCTACTGCTGCGTCTGCCTTGGTCGCTGAGCTTGTTGACTTTGCTGCTGCCTGTCGTCTAGACTACGCCGCTAGTCTTGTTGCTGAGTCTGAGTCTGTCCGTCCTCCGTCCGTCGGGGGTGAGTGTGCTCTTGGCACGGACGTCCTTGAGGACAGGCAGGAGGACCTTGAGTGTC